AGTTAAGTAATGAAGGATAAGTGATATTAGTTAATCATTTTTTTTCTATCTTGTTTACTTCTTCAAATAACTACTGATGAAGAATTAGGCTGTCAACAAATTGTTGCTATAAATAAGTTCGTCATTTCATGCATGAATAAACTTATCAGGCGATAAATATGATGACACTTACAGGTCGATCAACAAATTATGCTTCCGTTTTTTTTTTGCAGAAAAATGAGTAGAAAAGAAAGCAATTAAAAAATAAGCAAAATTATTAATTAAATGATGAAATAATTGTTGACAAATATAAAAGAATGATTTCGTGATAAATCTAAAACAATGATTTTGTGATAAATTCAAAAGAATGATTTTGTGATAAATCTAAAACAATGATTTTGTGATAAATCTAAAACAATGATTTTGTGATAAATCTAAAACAATGATTTTGTGATAAATCTAAAAAATTATTATTCTCACAATGACATCATTATTAATAAATAATTAAGTATAGAAAGACAATAGAGTGGCAATAAAGTTTTTTCTTTTTTCATAAAGATTGCTAAATTTGTAAGATTTATTTTCATCTTCTCTTCTAATAAGAATATTAAAATGTAACTCTCTCTAAATTTATAAAGAAGAAAAAAGAGAGAGAGAGAGAGAGAAAGAGAATTCAATTTTTTTAAATAAATAAATGTATATATATATGATTCGGGAAAACTTTGATGTTTGAACATTGAACAATGATGATAAACGATGCATTTCATTTTCTTCAATTTTTTAAAATCAAATAATTATATCAATTTTAGGATGAATTTCATTTTCTTTTCAAATTTTACAAATTATTATGAAAATAGGAAATATCACGTAAAGTATATAAAAATATATATATTATAAAATAAATACTTAATGTTATAGAATTTCATAACATATATACATTTCATTTTTCTTTCTTTATGTTAAATTTTGAAAACCATTTCGTAAAAAAATTTTAACCTAAAATTAAAATTAAGTTTTTTAAATTACAAGAAGCGCTAAAACAAAATATTTAAAATTTAACAGGTAAAATGGCTAAATTTGACGAAGTTAAATTTTCAACTATTAAGGAAAAAAAAAAGGCTCTTCTAATCTTTAATGATCAAATTGTCAACTTTTGAATAAATCTTTGTCGTTGCCATGACTTCAATTTTTGTTCTTATATGTTATGTTAATTAATTCAACGAAAATATTAATGAAAAAACAAAAAAAAAAAGAAAAAGGAAATGATGCAGGTGAACTAGCATATTAAAAGTTGAATTTAAAATTTATATAAATTATGAATTAAATTCTTCAAAAATCTGCTACTGATAAAGTTAAATTTGATGAAAGGACAAACCGTTATCATTCAAAAATAGTGATAAATAGTTTGATTGCTGATATCATCAAATGCCTTTCGAAATACACAACTATTTTTGGACGATATGTAAAAATCGAAGCTAATCAATACAATCGAAATGTTAAAATTTTCAAATAGTAAAATTACAGAAGATAAAAATTATCATTAATATAAATGATAACAAATAATGTGAGCAAAAAAATTTCGGATAAAAATTTGAAGGGAAATAATTGCAAATATTTAATTAGCATAGTTATCAAATTAAACAATATGTATACAATAAATGATTCAAAATTGATACATAATTGAAAATATGATAACTTTATCATTTTGATCTTTATCATTGGCTAATCAAATAGTAGCAGTTTTATCAAAGATAGAGGAAGCCTAGTTATTTATAAATGAAATTAATGCGAAATTCATTCATTTAATGATGAAATAACGATAGAACATGAAATAACAATAAGAATTGAATTTGATCGAATCATTTTCATTAGTCATATTATTATTATTATTATTATTATTATTATTATTATTATTATTATTATTATTATTATTATTATTATTATTATTATTGTTCAACGATTGCAATTGAATTAATCCATCATCGTTGTATACTTCCAATTCACCTTATTGTTTTACATTTATAACAAAATTATTTCAAAATAATCATAACTAACAATTTCTCCTTTCATTAGATTCTTTCCTATTGTTTCTTTTAGATTTAATCGAAATTATTGTTGTTATCATTATTGTTGTTGCTGCTAATGTTGTCGTTGTTGTTGTTGCTGCTGTTATGTTATTGTTGTTATTGTTGTTGTTATTATTGTTGTTGTTGTTGTTGTTGTTGATACTATTCTTATTATTTTTATTCATCATATTATCAAATTTTGTTTGAGAAAATCTACTTAAATAATCGCTCTTTTCTCTTGTGCTATTTTTTTTTCTTTTGAAAATGAAATTCAAAAATTCGCAAATAACTCATCCTATAATGGCATTTTCAGGGTTCATCGTCATGAAATGATGGAATAGAGAAAAGATGATGGATCAGATGAGAGAAATATTGGGTTGAGCTAAAATGCTATCAGCCAAATGAAGGAGGTTGAATGATGTGAAGGGCGGGAAATGAAGTGCCTTGAATTAAAAGGCCTATCTTTGTAGATCAGTTTAGCCTCACCAAATATAGCCTATAAAGCTGAAAGAATCAAAAGCGCCACCTCCTGAAGCAACATTCCTCCTCTATTCTTTCTTCTTCCATTTCCATTCTTTTCAACCCCTCCCTTTTCTTTTATCCCAACCTCCTTTTACCACTCTTTCTCGTTTAACAAAACTTATTCATATATCCTAGCTTCTTTTACATTCCATGTAGACTCATATATATACACACATGCACACACACACACACACATACACATACACAGACATATACATAAATACATAATCCTAATGATATGCCATACAGACATACACATACACACACATATACATAAATACATAATCCTAATGATATGCCATATAGACATACACACACACACACATATAGTATGTCCATGCAGACCCATATATATATATATACACAGATATATACATAAATACACAGTCCTAAAGATATACTATATAGACATACACACACACATAATATGTCCATGCAGACCCATATATATATACACACAGACATATATATAAATACATAGTCCTAATGAAATGCTATATATACATACACACATACACACATACACACATAATATGTCCATATGCATATATACAGACATATACATAAATACATAGTCCAAAAATATGCCATACAGACACATGCACAGTATGTCCGTGCAGACTCATATGTATATACACACAGACATATTCATAAATACATAATCTTTAAGATATGCCATACAGACATACACATACACACAAACACAGTATGCTCTCTTCAATCTATCATATCTACGATTAAGAACTTTACCCTTTTTTAAGATCAAAAACTCTACCTTCTTCTTCTTCTCTAAATTTTTGCTAAACTTTTGAAGAAAAAAAAAAGTCATTTGAATAAATTTCATAGCGCGTCAAAATTTGAATTCCCGCCGTGATGCTCATGACTGTTTTTGATACGGTAAACGGACCGCGCGCGCGTTTACGTGTGTGTAGTGACCGCGGTTTGTTGGTATGGTTGGCTGAATTTTTTTCTTATTTGAATGATTATTGGTTCGGGAAGACGGGGGAGGAATTCGATGATGATTCCGAGGTATTGATAGTTCTTTCGAGTTAGTTTGTTACTTTTATGTAGCTTAGAGTGTTTCTTTTTTTTTTTTTCGATATTTAATATGATTTTATCATAATAAGCATTTATCATCAATTGTTTTATGTATTTAGAGTTAATTTAGTATTATCATGTAGATTGAGTCTTTTTACATAATATTTTGTCATGTTAAGTTACTAGTTATCGCAAAGTTAGATATTCTGTCAAATTTGATATAGCATTATCACATTAGTGGATCTTTCCGGGGAATATACGCTCAATGACGATGTTAAAATTGATGTTTCATTTGTTGTATAACTATGGAAGAACATATTATGAAAGTAGATTAAAAGAGCGAATTTTTCCCATATATAAGTGGAAGACAAATAAAAAGTTTGACTCATGAACGAAAATAGATATTGAAGTTTGATAATAGCATACCAATCATTATTTGAAATACGGTTATATTGAAATACGGTTATATATGTTAATATTTGTGAGTCCGTTTATTATAGAAACAGAACAGGAATATTTGAAGGTCGGAAATTTGCATAAAATTGTGTTATAAAAAGTTGTGTTATTCGTACAACACAACTCTTTACTTTCGTCATTTGATGAATTACGGCTTTGGTGGCTCGCCTAACAACTTTTTCAGCAAATAAGGTATTTGATTAATATGCCATATTTGTTTAGCTGATATGATGAAGTTTTAGAAACGATGTTTTAAGAAGCATTTTTGGATATTTTTGAAAACATCTTTTCAACAATTAAAATTTATCAGTGGTCATATTTAGCTCGTAAGTAAATTAAAGGTATAACACCAATTGTTAAACAAAATAAGTCGGACTTCATACATATCCTCTGTGGTTATATCGTTATTTTCCAACCAATCGGCTCATAATATTTTCTGCTTTCCCTTAGAATTGCATCATCAGATCTACCATGTTAAGATATTCGCCTTTTGTAGCAGCTGATCTTTGAATCTTAGTTTTTGTTTGTATCAGTGTTTTCGTTATTTTAGTAACATAATCGACTTGCTGTCACTTGATCTTTTTCCGGTTATTTCAAGTAAATTGTGCTTGATGCATGTTTTTTTCCATGTACGAGTTCTTCAGTTTTCTTTTCCAAAGTTTCTTATCGCAACATAATAATATCCTCTACCCGTTTTGTTGCTAGCAATCATCAAATATTGAACATATAATAATTTATCTTTTCAGCTTGTTTTGTTACAATTGTCGCTTTATTTTTCAGTATTACTTTGTTCTGGACTGTTACACGTATTTACATTTCAGTAATGTTTGCTATAATAGGTATATATCGTATTTGTCAGTGAAACAGTGTTGGATGGGTGCCTCAGTAATGGATGACTGTCTGAGTTATGATTTCGATTTCCAGCTCGCACTGTCAGCAATGTCAGCAGCAAGCGGAACAGCAAATACTAATACTCCACAAGCGACACCATCAAGTGAACGTCAATCAGCTGCAGCAGCATCGGCTTCTGCTTCGGCACCGTCCTCGTCTCGATGGATTTTCACCCACGAACAACTGATGAGGGTCCCGAGCATTCGAGAAGGCATGTCACCGGAAGAAGTAAATATTCCTTTAATTTTATTTTTTGAAATTCCATATTTTTGATTTTAGCATTTACAATTTTGAAACATTTTAATGTTTGTTCTTTCATCATCCAATGTTTCTAACGCTGATTTTTAATCCAGAATATGATGCTTTGAAATAATATATTTCTTGTAGTCTTTTTTAACAAAATATGTAGAAATCATTAGAAATGGCAGGTCTTCATTCGATTTTGCTGCAATTTACTCTGAAATTTAGGAATTAAAAAGGCGGCGTGTATCAGCTAGTACAATCCATCAAATGGCTGACAGGCTAAATCACGAATCTCGAGTGCGAATGTTAGTGTCTTTTTTCTGCACGCAGATTTCGACTAAAATAAAAGATTGAGCATGTCTCTATCAAAACTTAATTTGTAGTTGGTCGTTTGCTCGGAGGGATTAATTTTAGATTCCAATTGGTTCAGATGTGGAACATGTAACCATTTTTTTCCAAGAAAAACTAAGTTTTATACAACTCATTTACGAAACAATAAATTGAAAAGCTGTATTCGGGTTTTAAAAAAGTATCCTATCGACATATAGGACTGAATTAGTATTCTGTCAGTGTTGTAATTCAAATCGGTTTCTTTGATTTCAGATCTCAACTATGTATTTGTGCTGCAATGATGCATATGCATCGATTCTTCGTCTTTCATTCCTTCTTCAAGTTCGATCCACGGGTACGATTTATTATAATAAGAGTTATCTGTTTCTTTTGATGATCGGCTTGCTGGAATCAAAATTTACGAACGGCTTGATCTTTTTTGCTTTCAGAATAAATTTTTGGTACAGAATCAAAATAGAGTGCCCACTTCTTTTCTCGTATGTGTTATGGTGTGTCAACATGGAAATTACGCATGGTTGAGATGAGCAGCAATAATTTTTCCAGGATATTGCTGCTGCATGTTTGTTTTTGGCGGGTAAATCGGAGGAATGTCCCCGAAAACTGGATCACGTTGTGCGTATATGGTGGGCCATCAAATTTCCGCATTCACCAAATTTGGACAATAATGTAAGCGTTCTTTGGTATTTGTGCATACCTAGAATTCATTTTTCTCTGGTTTCATGAATTTATTCCACTTCTATGCATATTTATGATAATGTAGTATGAATTAATCGCTATGGTTAAATTTTTCAGTAGGATTTATGTATTTATAAGCAGAAATTTTTTCGTAATTGTGGATTCTGTCGATAACTATAAATAAGATTTCTTAATATAAGAATATTTAACATGCTTTGCTTTTATGTCAGATGATTTGCTTTATTGGTTAACTGAAGAATCTTACAGCGTCTTCATGAGGCATCGCAACTGATTGTCACGTTGGAAAATCTCGTCCTGCAAACAATTGGCAAGTTTTGCTCTTTGTTTGGAATAGCAACGAAGCAATCATATTTTGTTGTTTGCCTACTCAAATGTCGCAGTACGCGAAGGCATTATGCTTTTGGTTTTGAAAATTGAAATACAAATGCGTTAAAGCATCGATTTAAACTTGATGATCATAATTGAAAGATTAGTATTGCACAGTTTTTCTCAACTGTACATTTAATCATGCAGCATTCGATTTGTCAGTGGACATACCGCATCCATACGTCCTGACGCACATGCAAAAATTTGCACGAGGTTAGTTTTATAATGTTGTGAAGATTAAGCTTTGCAATTCATGAGTTTGCTTTATTTTGTGGGAAGCGATTGAGATATTTAATTATGAAAATATGCTGTGAAGGGGCAAGCAAACTAAAAAATATCATCGCATATCAGGTGAAGGAGGATACATTCTCAGTCGCTGGGAACATAACCAGTAGATTGATATAGTGAACCGCTTTAATAACTAGCATTTAATTTGGTTGCTATAACCAGTAGATTGATATAGTGAATCGCTTTAATAACAAGCATTTAATTTGGTTGCTAGTTCATATCTTTTCGTGATTCATGGGAATGTTAGTGTCGGATTTATATACCAGAAATTTGTCATAATAGGAATTAGTCACAGTTAACTTTTGTCTAAGTTAAGTTTTTTGTACTTGTGTAAATATATAACACAAAAACAATGAATCATAATTTAATAATATAATTTGTTTTAGATGCTTCGGGAAACAGAAGAATATCGGAAATAGCTTATTGGTTTGCAAGTGACATGTAAATTTTCCTAATATTTTTGATAACGAGTAATAATTTTTGAGAATAGTTAAAGAAGAGAAAGGAGAAACAAATAGCACCGTATTCTTTACGATATAATCTAATTCCAGTAATTCATGTAGTGTCACTCTAAGGGTTGAAATGAAAACGGACGGAGTAGTTATATTATTTTTTAAAGCTTATGGATTGTTTTTTTAAGGCTCCATATGACAAATTGGGGAGTACGTTATACGGCAAAAGCGATTGCGTGTGTTTGCATCCAAATGGCATGTCTCTGGGCAGAATTTGAAGTAAGCGGTGCTAAAATTTCACAATGATTTTTTTCCTTGGTATCCAGTAAAGACAGAAAAAGTGAATAACAGAAGCTGGGAAGCTTCTTTTTGTGCTTGAAGTAGGGACATGTAGTTTTCACCTCGTGCTGCTTATCTCATTGAAGGTGCAAATTAATAGAAGTAAAGCTTACTGCATGACTACATTTAAGTAAAAAATGAGTTTTTATTGAGTGAGAAAAGTAGGGATGCATGAACAGCACAATTTTTTTAGTTTTATTAACATTTAGGTCTTCGGGGTTTAAGGCTTAAGTATGCTTAGGCTTGTTAATTTATAAGCAAAAATAATGATATTTTGCAGGTAACTGCTGTATGCACAAAGCCAGCAGCGAAAACATTGCCTTGCCCATACATTTTAAATTTAGAGTTTTGAAAAGAAAACTTAGTTTTTAAATTTCAAAAAGTCATACGAATTCAGATGCCTATTTTATTGGCTACTTTGTCGTGTGGTTGTATGCGTGGTGCGCAGCGTAACAAATTATTCGTGTAAAGCTGTAATGCGTTACTTCTTGCATTCTGCAATCAGTGTGCATCTTGCGGAAGTGTTGACGCAGATCAGTTTCCATAAGCTCTTGAAAGAAAAAGCAAGAACAGCAGCTCTTGGACTGTCTGTACTAATTGCTGCAAATCGTGCAACTTCGTGACGTGTGTGGAATAGCGCTGTATATTTGCACTTTATGTCGAAGAATTGGGAAGAGGAGCAAACTTAGTGGCTCATTTTGCTATATTTTAAAGTGAAGAGAAGGAAGTCACTGCAGTTGTTTCTGGTACCATTTCGTTAGATAGTGCATCTCGCTGTAATTCATGCGCTTCACTGAAGACTTGCACGATTGCGCAAGTTAACTATTAGCAGTGCAGATAAGTTCAGTAAGAGTATAAGAACTTTCATATAAACCACAAACAAAGAAATAATTGGCCGTAAAATTAGCCACAGAATCTACAAATTATGAATTCCGGGCAGACTGAATCTACTGAATCCATTTCTTTTTGGCTTGAATTACCAGTTAGCAGCTTAAAAAAACTTCACATGGGGAATCTACCACCTCGCTTTATTGGAAGAAATACACAAACATACAGAGGGAAAGAGAGAAATTGCATATCAAAAATTTAATAAAGGTAACTTTTATTGGCATTTTTCAAGTAGCTTGTTTCTTGTTTCCTTACAACTTTCCTATAATTTTTGTTTTAAAAAATATCGAATAGAAATACAAATTTTTGAATTTGAAGAAATTCCTAATGTTTTTGAGATTTGCGTGTTCTTTTTCCTTACTTTTAGTTTGAGATTGTTGTTATACAAAGCGTTTTGGAGAATTAAAGAAACAGAATTTTTTAGATTATTTTAAAAAGATTTTTTTTTGAGATTTAGATTAATGCGCATTTATTTCATCACGTTCATCCTACTCTCCTTTCTGCCCTGGAGTTTTAAAACCCGTATATTACTAAGCATCACCACAAATTGTTTAAATTCTTGCAAGATTATCCGTCCTGCTGAGCTGTATCGAAAAAGGTAGAGGACGAATAAGCAAAAATTTAATGCTCACTGATGTAATTTTGGCGAAAGTTGCTTTCTACTTTCGAAATGGAATAATAATGCTGCGGATTTGCAAACAGTGGAAAACGGATATAAAATTTTTTGAAACCAATTGCGCAGTTATTGTATCGTTTTTCTATTTAAGAGTTTTTCTGCGCAATTTTTCAACTCTTTTTGCACTGCACCTTAAATGCATGTTTTACAAACGTTCGAATCACATATGTTTCTTCTATTTCTGGAATACTTTTTCTCCATATCGTCAATACGTGCATTTGTCGAGTAATGAAATGCCTAAAATGTGACGATGACATGTTTGACATGGGACGTCAATGCTTATTTACTGGTAGTACACAGAGCGGTGGTTCGCAAGTTACATTAATGAAGCAGCATATGTTACTTGAAATATGTTTATATGCGTGCATATGTGTGTGCGAGCATTAGCGCTGCAAAAATGGAAATTGTAATGATAACTCAAATTATAGAGAAGGAACATGATTTAGAACTCGAAAATATACATTTGTAAATTTCACAGTTTTCTTGCAAGTTTTACAATTTTTTATGTATTTTAAAATACCGGAATGCGATATTATCTCTGAAAATTTCGCCGATTAAGCTGGCGTTTGATGTTTCTATGTCCATCATGTCTTTGACTGTCATAAGTAATGTTTTGGACTTTTCTGGTTGTATAGTTTCTCAGTTCTTTTTTCCTTCTTCAGTTTTTACATTTATAAGTTTTTGGCAGATTTATAAAATCCGCTTGTTCTTTCTTGAAATCAAGTTGTTTCAGTTTGTTTAAATATAGAATCTCCTTTTGTTTCATACGAGGTATTTTTATTTTCATGCCTGTTTATTGGAAATGAAGTCCATTTTTGAATCCTCAATTTGTTTCAAGCCTTCACTTTTTTCGGAAGAAATAATTTCAGATGGCATTTCAAGGAGTTCAATTTTAGATTCAAACAACACCCGATGAGGCACCATGGTATAAACAAGTTGACCCGACAATGACGCTTGACAAATTACTGAGTGAGTTGTATTTGCTTTCCCGGATATTTTATTCTTCAAGGCGCGCAAGCCACTCAGACGATGGATTTGGCGAATTATATGCTTCAGCGTTTTATTGATTTTTTAGTTCTCGCACTTATTTTGGTGCCGACCATATAAAAATTCAGTAGCAAATTTCAAAGTCATACTTTTCACCTCTATTTAGAATTAACTGAAGAATTCTCCCGTATTTACAAGACGCACGGTGAGTCATTGAATATCAAGAAATATGCAATGCGTAGTTCACTAAGGGAAACTGCTACACCACAGAATCCCAACCAGCCGCAGCAACAGTCACCGCAACAGCCTTCGTCGCAGCAGTTACGGCAAGGACAGAATCGTTAGTGATTTCTAAAATATTTATCAGTGAGTTGTCAGCTAGAATTTACTCTATCGGTGGTTAGAATTTCAGATCCAAATGTTAAATTTTTGCTTTAGTTTCAGATGATTTTTAATCTTGTAAATATTTCAATTCTGTGTAAAATTCGCTTCAGAGGTCGCACCATCAATCGCAACTCTACCACCGCCACCGGTGGCACCGCAACTTAATGCAGCTGTGGCTGTAAAAGGTGCTGAGCCAGCTCGGCGGATCGATCTCAGTGATTACAAATTACGGAATAATGGTTAGAAGTTGCAATGATCTGCCAGAAATCGGACTTCAAGCACTAACACTTTTATTATTTTCGTCAAATGTTATTTGTTACTTTGGGTTGTAAAATTTAAAGATGTAGGTGAATTCGAAATGTAGATCATTTTTCGAAGCATTTCCCATGATAAGCCACTACCGAAATCGTAGAGCTTTTCTTTGTAAGCATAGAATGATAAAAATAGTAAGAATTGAGAAATATGGTAATTCAATTTTTTGACTCATTTTGATGACTGTTTACAGCAGCGCAGCAGCAGCAGCAGCCGAGCAGTTCACAAAACTTTGTAGCGCAAGCTCAACGTAGAAATTTTATGCGACCTGATGTATTACCACAAACAACTAGTAAAGGACTGGATTTATCGCTTCCTCCAATTATTGCAGATGGCAAGTTTGATTATGTGGATTCCAAAATATATTTTATAAGCTCTACGATGCTAGCTTCGTTTTTTGTCGGGTGAATAATATTTTGTTATCCATGATTGTCACAGTTAATTTGGCTTGTGTTGGTATCAAACAAAGGAATGTAAATAGACTAAAGTAAAATACTTTTTCATGTGTTTGTTTATTACCGTATCATTTCAGAAAAGCAACTAAATCAGAATAAGCCGGATCAAGTTACTGTCAAGCCAAATGAAGCTAAAGTCCAGATGTCAAAATCTGGAATTCCGAAATCGACAACCTTGCAAAAACCAGCCATTACGAATGCTGCAAAACCGTTGCAACCTATCAGACAGCCACCGGGAACCAATGAACAAGAACGACATAAGAAGCCCAAAACAGATGATTATGATAAAGATTTGAAGCACAGAAGGATTGAGAAAGCGAGTATGGAAGGTGAATTAAGACGAACTTTTGCGTAACTTTATTTCCCATTTTTTATTAGCTTTTGAAAGAGTAAAATTGTGTTCTTGTCTTAATTCAGTCAGTATCTTCCAACCCTTTTATCATAATAATTTGAGGTTGAGAATTTTTCTAGGATCACATCACCGTAAGAGGCTCTATGAAAATAGTGCAGCTGCTAGTCAATCGGATAGCAGTTCCGCTATACCACCAACGAATGTGGCATTGACCCCGAAATCTGGAACTCCTAAACCAGCAGAACGTCACAAGTAAGTAAACCAAAATATATCAGAATTTTAGTGTTAATGAGTGTACAATTGTCTCATTTATCTTTCACCATTACAAATTTTTCTCTTTTTAGTCCAGTAACCCTTTTAAATCACATGGCTTCCGGTGGTTACAGCACCACTCCGAGATCACGCGAGGAAGCGGCTTCGCAATCACTTAAACGTGACAATAATGGTAGCAACAACAATAGAAGCCGTTATGAAAGTATGTCTTCGCGACAGCGTGACGATGTGGCATCATTAAAAAGGGCACGACAGACGGCACCTTTGATTGCGCTTTTACCAACACCACCGGCATCAAATACCGTTTTCGCAATGAACGCAAATTCACAAAATTCGAAGTTCATTTCCTTTATCCTTGTCTCTTTCTTTTTAGTTACAGTTTATTCAGAAAAACCTCGGACTAATTCTACTTCAGTTTCCTATTTTGTTGGCAGCAATTTTGTTTGCTTGTTTATATAGATCCATTTTTCACCCTGAGTTTAATGGAATTCTTCCATTCACAATTATACAACTTTAGAACAATGAAACACATATTTTTGAGTTTTTAGATATAGCTTATCGACAACACAGCCGAATCGTTCAAATTATACTGGTGAAAGAACTAACGCTACCACGAATTGGTCAGTGACAAATGATTATTATTTAGGCTCATCTTGCAATGATGCCTCACGTTTTTCACAGTCATCTGGATCGTCTAATCATAGAGTGAGCATTGTTCCAATTCTACATCTTCGTGTTTTGTTTATATATTATTAGGTTTAAATTTAGATGGTGCCAAAAGGAATCTTAGCTTAAAAGGAATCTAATTCTGTTAATGTTTCAAATTCGGTATTGAAAATAAAAAATCGAAATATTATAGCATTATTCATCGTCAAGTGTTGGACGCACAAAGTCACGTGAACCCTTATTAAGTACGCCTGATACAGGAAACTCATATTATAAACGTTCCCGTCCGCGACCATGTTCACCTACTACATCAGCTGCATCGAATACTTATCGACAGTCACAGCGTCAGCCGAGTCCTGGAAGTCGTACAGGATCCAGTTATTCAAGTAATGGTTTATACTGCAAGAAAGAAAATTATTTTGAAATATTTATACATTACTTGGGAAGCTAGACATAATTTGGTAAGCACGCTCAATATTATGTGTGCAGTTGTTTGCTGCATGTTTATCACATTATACAATATGTATTGTACCCTTTGCTCTTTGCATAAGATCTGGCATTGTGGCACAAGTTGTGCCTAGATTTCAAGTTTGCTCTTAGTCTTTTTTAGACAGCTTATTGCATACTACGTGCTTCTAGGATAATTTTGCATGTAACTTCAAAATTACTTCGCGTTAAAATAAAGCATATATAAAAGGGCGTGAGAAATCATTACTAAACAGCGCATGTTATCTTCGTTGTCATGCTTCATTTTTTTTTCACTAATTTGTGATTTATGCAGATAACCAGCGGTATCTTAATACGGGATAGTTTGTTGGGTGTTGCCATGAGCTTTTTTTTGGACGCACGATCGTGATCGACTTGCAGTATCGACATTACCAAGAAAGAATGAACAGGAAGCATTGATGATTGACTAATGCAAGTGTAGTAGCATGCTTTTCCTGTTCGCATGCAAAATTTAGGTTTCACAAGGCGCTATTATCGTCGACGGTATGTCTATAAAGTAACACCGCGTCAGTCGTCACCAAGATATAGGCGTGGAGAATGGAGGAGACGGTGTTCCTGGCGCTCTCGCGTGCTTTTTTCATCTTACGCCAACACAAGTTTAGCTAATGCTTCATCTATTCCTAGTTTTCTTGTGTTTTCATTTCATCTGTTGCTGAGTTTTATCTTTCATGACTGTTTTATTAAATCAATATGATCATTGATTTTGTGCATGCTGTATGGATTTACTTTTTTCCCTTGATATTTTTCCTATTGTGATCAAAAAGTGCTCCTGCAGCCTGCAAAGAAATAAATGTTATTGCTACTTTCCATACCCTAATACAAGTCGGAAAGAAGAGGATGAGGATTGAAGTATGGGATATTGGAAAATGCTAAAATTGTTTAATCCTGGATTTCGTGCTTTCGTTTCTTACCACTTCCTAAGCTGCGATTTCCCCCACTATTCCCTTGTTTCAGGTAGTTCAACACATATGCTTTCAGCTCTGCCACCACCACCTTTACCACCACCAAATGAAGAACTTGAAGATGGCGAAGTTTTATAACGGTATGTTCTTCCATTGATTAAATATTAGTAATTGTTAATAGACTCAGTTTATTCTCTTCAGTAGCATTCAGTTTGTATAGATTTTGCAGATATTCACATCTTTTCTATGATAAGTGTCCGTGATCAGCTCTTATTTTATCTAGTATTTTATATATATATTGCGTAATCAAAGATCTTGCATAATTTATTGTTTTTTGTAATAAGAGTCTAACCTTAGTTCGTAATATATAGACAGTGTAGTTTTGTAAACGTGTGGTTTGAAATTTTTAGAAGAAAATTGTAGAAGGGAGTGCCACGTAACGTATTTTATGTTTTTGCGAAGAAGATGGGTCTAGGTATAGACAGTGGAAACAAAAAAATATGCCTTCTTGAAGTGACGTGGATCAAGAAAGAGATCGATTTAAATGGAAAAAATATTTTTGCTCAATGTAAAGCGAATTCTGCCTTCTGTATACGCGATTTTTCAATTTTTAAATGTTGTTTATAAAGTTTTTTATCACTGATCAATAGACAAAAGGATAAAAACAGGTAAAAAGGACTCAATTTTTTATAAAAACAAGACTCAATTTTCAAAATTTTCAACAATATATCTTATAATATGCTTTTCATATGGTTTTTAAATTCTTATGATAGTCTTAGAGAAATTTTATGGAATTTATGAAAATTCCGAAAGTTTTTTTAACAAATTGAATTCGGATGGAAAGCATTGGCGGAATTAATAGGATAAAGCACAAGAAACAGATATAATCAACAGATCTGCATCTTACTCACTACTGAGCTCTCAGTATCTTTCTTGTTTTCTCTGTAATATGTATTGGTCTTGCATCTATTTGACATTTTTAAACTTTCTGCATTGAAATGTTGCTCGGCTCAAACAGAAAATATTTTTAAAAGGGGATTGGTTATAGTTTTTTTCAAATTGATTTCATGTATTGGTTCTTGCAACCAGTTGAAATTTTTAAAACACTGGCAATTTGTATATTGAAATGTTGCTCGGTCTCAAACAAAATATTTTTAAGAGGGAATTAGTTGTAATTTTTTTAAAGTTGACTTCATGTATTTGTTCCTGCAGCCAGTTGAAATTTTTAAAACACTGGTAATTTTTGTACATTGAAATATTGCTTGGTCTCAAACAGAAAATATTTCTGAGAGAAAAGAATTGGTTGTAGTTTTTTTCAAGTTGATTTTATTCATTGTTGTGGATGCTCTTGTTGTGTGATTGTTTAAAAAAGAAAAAAATGAACTCACTACTGCTTACTTACTACTTTTGCTGTGTTTGGATTTTTTGCGTTGATGTTTCAATTTTCGAATATGCATTGAATCCGAATATAATTTTCTCTTCTCTATTGCTTTCGTGCTTGTAACGCTGACCATATGTAGATCATGTTAAACTTGATTCATGTTAATAATTAGTAAGACGCTGATAATTAGAATATCAAATTGGCGGGACACTTTTTGATCTTTTGAAATTTTCATGATTCTAATGGGTTTAGCATTGGTTCCACTGTTACTACTGTATGGTCTGTTATTTCTCAATAAAATGTTCGTTTTATTAGGCATTGGCATCATATTTTTCATAAATTGCAACATTCGAACAGGATATAATAATATTTTAATGATTAAATGAAATTTTTGCCGTTGTTTTCATGCTATGTGATTTTTGAGCAATCATTTTTCAATTTGCTTTTTCCATATTTATATGAGAATTCAAAAAAGCAAGACGAATATTGATTTTTTTCAGTTTACTTTTGATTATTATTAATAAAATGATTCAGAAGTCTTTGAAAATCGAGATGAATACATTGGAATGATTTTTTGAAGTTTAAATTTTAACGGCGAAAGATATGCTATCATAACACAGGTGTGATGATCTAAGGAATAAAGCATGAAAAATGCTAGGAGATTTCAAAAGGGGCGAGGTTCAGGTAATTCGAACTAGAAGCATATCTATCGTATTGAGTAGTGTTAGCTTTCGCCATCGTGAAATTTTCATATTTCCCTTCATGTTAGATATTAAATACTGGCATACAAACTCATGTTAATACTGATCATGAATTGATATACTCCCGTTTGCTATAGTTATTTCGAAATTATCATTCCTATTTTCTTTCTTTTTTTTTAAAATTTAATTTAGATCTTTTTATTTGTTATTTACATTCACAGATAATTATTACGATACATTATCATTGGGCTGTTGGGAAAACTGATCCGAAAAGTTATTGGCGGAAAATAGCAACGATAGTGTCGTAATAAAGCAACAAATGAATGTTTATTAGATTGCATAATTTATTAACTGATTTCGCTTACGAAAAATGGCTGAATCGATCAATGAAATCAAATCGAAATATTATATTAAATGAAAATTGGATGTTTTNGATAGTGTCGTAATAAAGCAACAAATGAATGTTTATTAGATTGCATAATTTATTAACTGATTTCGCTTACGAAAAATGGCTGAATCGATCAATGAAATCAAATCGAAATATTATATTAAATGAAAATTGGATGTTTTAAAATTCACTCTAATTAATATTATATATAATTTATATTATCCCCGAATTGTGTTCATCAATTCATGCATTATTTTATTTTATTTCATCTTACTTCTCTCTCTTAAGTTCTTTGTTAATATATTTTAAAGATTTGAATAGCAATTGATTATTAGGCCCCAGAGAAATTAGGAGAATTTATGAGTAAACAATTGAATATTATTTATGACAGACAATTTCTAAAAATAATGACAGTAATTATTTACAAATATTGATATTCAAAAATACAGCGAAAGATTTTTGTTGCAATTTAATATCAAATATGCTAATTTAGTAATCACATCAATGCTCTGAAATGTTTGACTCTTTCAAAATAATTTTATTTATTTATTATGGTATTCAAATTACAAAGTTTTAGATGCATAAGCAGTACAGGGCTTTTTATGGAAATTTTAAAAAGAATTCGGACACTAACAACTTTGTCCGGTCTTATACGTACATTTATGTATAAGACCTATACTTATACGTATCATTTGTGTTGCTAATAAAAAATGGTTCTGTTACTATTCTTTATAGGTCCTTAATTACAGCACGTAATAATAGAAGTTGGAAAAAGGATGAATGATAAAAATACCTTTACAACGACTCGCAGTAATTTCATTTATTTTATAAAGAACAATAAGCCAATATGATTATAAATTTCAATTAATTCATTTTACAAAAATTTAAAACCAGAAATTTCTATAACAATGCACAAATTATTTTGCATACAATATTGAATTAAAGGACGTCGACGAAATCATTCAATACCGTATAGACTTAGTTTTCATTTATGCAAATTTTACACTGTCAGCTGCATTATTCTACCATTTAAAGTTTGTCACTTCTTTTCAAACATCGTTAAAAATTGTTTAAAAAAAGAGTATACGTTTGCAAACGGATTTATTACGTTTTCA